GGCTTCTGTAGTTCTGCTTCTTGGTAACTGAAGTGTGACAACCAGGGTGTGGCTTTTGTGCATAAAAGAGAAAGGACTATAAAGCTCAGGCCTGCATAATTTGGCTAAGTTTCCCATGCAACCATTGACTGGCAATAAAGACTTTCTTTTTGGCTTTAAGAGTGTCTGCATGGTGGTCTCTGGTGGGCTTACCTTGAAATACCATCATCCAGGAAAGTCAAAGTGTATTTGAAGTAGTTGGGCCTATTCTATCTAAAGTCAAGAGCAGAAAGCAATGTTAATGTATCACACTAGTGCTTAGCTTACTTTCTCTACTTTTGCCCAAGCCAGTATCGCCTCCCCAGAGAATGGAGTCACTAGTAGTGATTGGGTCTTCCCAGTTTGATTGATATGATTAAGATGATCGCCTACAGATACTCCAAATTTCTACCTAATCTAAATAATCCTTCACTGAGACTTCCTTCCCAGGTGATTCTAGACTGTGTCAAATGTTGACAATTAAAAGTCACTCATCTATCTATCTATCTATCTATCTATCTATCTATCTATCTATCTATCATCTACCATTTGCTGCCCCTGCCAGCAGGGTGGTGAACAGGGTCCAGGGGGATCACCTGAAAGAGAGAATGGTGGAACAGGTGAATGCAAAGAATGACAGCTTGTCTATAGGCTGGTCAAACCGTAATTTATCCTTTTTCACACAGGGGTTTTATACATATAAAGGCAGGATGTGGGGAAGGGGATGACACAGGAGCTTAGGGGTTCTCAGGGGGAGCACAGACACCTTCCAGAACAGAGTTTTGGCTGGGTGAAGAAGCAGGGAACAAGTTACTTGTGACTCTGTCTATGATTCACTTGTTTCTTATCTAAGCTGGTACTATCCACCAAGGCTACCTATCCACAAGGTCTATGACTACTTGGCCTTATCCAGGCTGGTAAATTTCCACCAAGGCTGCCTGTTTACAAGATCTTATAGCTATCTGTTTTAGGGTTAGTATTTTTCCACAGGGACCAAGACTTTTGTTAGCGGGAATATATGTCTGACTTAGGCCTATGGCTGATTTAAGCCTTCAGTGTATAAGCAAGGTTGTTCCTGACAACTTGTTACCTATGTAATCTGGCATATATTAACCTATCTTCTATTGTTTATTGCCTATCTCTATGTCATCCATGACTTATGTAGGTGTAGACAACAGACAAAGATACATTGTATAAGCTTTCATGTAGACAGACAGACTATACAAGGTCCTTCTGAAAACTCTGGCTAATATAGATTTTTTATTTTGAGTATAGTTCTAGAGAAATAGAATTTTAGGGATGAGATTTTTGAATATGTATTTGGGTTTCTAGAATTGGCTCTCTGATCTGACTATATTTCTAAAATGTTAATAACTCGATTTTCAATAGTGAAGAGAGTACCTATGGTTCATGGCATGATCCAGCTACAAGGCAGGGGTTACTGTTAAATATTCCTCACCAAACACCTTACAAGCAAAGAGGGTCTCAGTGGTTGTATTTTATATTTCCCATTCCTTTCATCAAACTTACGAGAACATGAACATTATTGGGTTGTTGCAAAATGTCACTGCACAAAACAGAAAAAGAATGAATTCAAGGATTATACTCTGAGCTCAAGTGCTGTGTGTCTTGAAATCCCCCCTTTTTATAGAGACCTCGTTTTTTCTTTACATGGGGACTGCTGAAAATCAAATCCACAATATCATCCCAAAACTGGCTGAAGCACAGTTTAAGTTGAACTCTTATCTTGCTGTGAAAGTGTGACAATGACTGAAAAGCAGTAGGACTTCTGAGAATAGTAATGGGGACATTGACAAGCCTGGGGACACTGGGCTCCTTACCTGTGATTGTGTTCTTTGTTGATGCATGACATCAGTCTCACTCTAGTAACAGTGGCATCTCCCCTGATTTCTAAATGGATTAACTCTGGGTTTCTTAAAGACACTACTGTGGCCTTTCTTGAGGCAGTGCCACTGAACTCCAGCAGACACACTTTACCTTCCCTCTTTTCCTCTCCACCAGTAACTACTTAGATTTTTAATTCTATTCAGACAGAATCCAGGCAACATGTCTGTAGACAGGCATCATGACCATAGAATAACCAGAAAGAAGATAAACTTAGGTACATCACCAAATTTATCAATATGAGGTCCCTAAACAGACACTTTGCACTTAATAGCTCAGAATTAGGGAGAAGCTCTCACCAGTTGGCTAATTGGCTGAAACATGGACCAAACATTATCTACCTTGAGTATATTGTAAATGCAAGATCTACCTTGGCTTAACATAAAAGAAGATATTCAAAGGTTTAAGGAGATTGAAATATTGAATGATTTGTTATTTAAGCTGAGAAGGCACAGCAGAAATGCCTCCTACCATCATTATGAGAACTAAATTTGGGAGAGGAGCCACAGCATCCCTGAGAGTTCTGTGATTGCTATTGTTTTGAAGGCCAGTGGGAGTCATAGCCACTCAGATGGGCAAACGTAAATGCAGTGGGAGTAACTAGATTCCAGAATGGCATAGGCCAAGTGTCTCAGCTACTAGAGACAAGGTGAACATTGCTATGTTAGTATAATGACAAAGTTAAAGTATTCCATAATTCAGGTAACAAATAGGTTGTCTGGAATAGAGAGAGCCCCTCAGGCATCTCTCACTATTACCATTCAGTGTGATTAAAGTGTGTGGAAAACTACAGTCCAATCCAGACAGGGCTGCTGTTGTTGCTCTGTTTAGTTAGAAACTTGCTGTGTGCATAGGAAATCTTTTCTCTTGCCATTCTTACCACCTTATCATATAACATGAGATGTAGTTACATTGTAGTGTTTAAGTTATGGGATATCACTAAAATGATTACTTATTCTTTAGAGTCTATACGGCACATATACTAGCCTTTGCCATTTTTTTCACTTTATCACACAACATGAGTTGTAGTTGCATCATAGCATTTAAGTTATGGAATGTTGAGAAAAAAAGTAAACTCTGCCACAGCAAACTGTGTCTTGCAAAGGAACTAGTATTTTTCTAGTAATGGGCATAACAGTCTAGGCACATTACATAGAATCTTGCCTTTATTTGGAAACAATGTCTGGTTTAAAACATGGTGATATGCTATGGCTAGTTTCTATGTGTCCAACCTGATTAGATACTTGATCAGATATTATTCTGAGAGTACCTGTGAGATTGATTAGATGAGATTAACACTTCAGTAGGTTGACTGAGTGCAGCAGATTGACCGTTGGAGATGTGTTTGCCTTAACCCATCAATCAAAAAATAACTAGGAAGAAAAGTTTTCTGTCTAAAGGAATTCCTCTTGTCTGATGGCCTTTAAGCTAAGACATGAGCCTTTTTACTGATATCTGATGTGGATAGAAATATCAGTTCTTCTGGAGTTTTCTCTTCCTTTCCCCATCCTCCTCCTGCCCCTGCTCCTCCTGCTCCTTCTCCTCCGCCTGCTCCTTCTCTTCCTGCTCCTCCTCCTACTCCTCCTCCTTCCCCTGCTCCTGCTCCTTCTCATCTTTCTCCTGCTCCCCCACCCACTCTTCCTTTTGCTCCTCTTCTTCCTTTGCTTCCTCTCCCCACTTCTCCTCCCTCTGTATCTCCTCCTGCCCCTCCTTCTATTCCTACCCCTGCTCCTCCTCCTTTTCCTGTGTCTCTTCATCTTGCTAATCCTCCTGCTTTTTCCTCTGCTCCTCCTCCGTACTATTTTTCATCTTTTGTTTGTTGCTTTTTGAAACTAAGACCTACTTTGTTCAGACTGTTCTAGAACTCACAGATATTTTCCCCTTTCATTATCTCAAATACTAAGATAATAAGAAATAATGTTTTTTAGATGATTGAATAGTTCCTTTACTGATACCTCTGTCATGGCTTCCTGTTGCAAAAGCTATTTATAGAACAGCCAGAGCTTGTGAAAACTGCTTTATGAAATGGAAGGCCACAGTATCTTGTTGCCTGATGTCCTGGCCACAACCGGGGGGCATAGGAAGTGAGGAGGGCCTGGCCTCTCTGACAATGGTGCAATCAATGGCTCTCAGCTGAAGAAGCACAAGTAGGTCAGCAAAGCCACATAAGCATGAAGACCTGAGTAGTTCAGCAACCCATATACAAATTTGGGCATTGTGGCACAAGCTTGTAATCCCAGCACTGGGGAGTCAGTGACCAGTGAATCCCTGAATCTTACTAGCTAGTCCACCTAGCACAATGCTAAGGAAAGGCCCTGTCTCAAGAATAAGGTGAGAAATAGTGAGAAATAGTGCACACACACACACACACACACACACACACACACACACACACACGGGGGGTGGGGAGAGAGAGAGAGAGAAAGAGAAAGAGAGAGAGAGAGAGAGAGAGAGAGAGAGAGAGAGAGAGAGCGAGAGCGCAAGGGTGCAGGGATTATATGGGATTCAGGAGTAGCTTCAGGCTTGCTGTGCTTGTACATGCCTCCTGTGATTAGTTTGCTCTTTGCTTGAGCTCTGAACCTTTCATCCTAGCCCTCCCGATAGAGAGGGGTTGACAGCAGAGAATGCAGTAGGGTACGAAAGTAAAATGAACTATAGCCAGCCAGCCCCCTAACCTTTTTCTTTCTCAAGTGTTTGCTTGGGACTACCAAAATGTAAATATCTTGGTAAATTAACCAACACAACTTACTTACATCACAGAGGTCAGTGGAAAACGTGGCTCTTGTCTCTTCTGCATGTGCCTTTGTGTGGGCTCCTTCTTTATGTCCAGGGGAGGGCAGTCTCTTAGAGCCCAACCCTCCCCAATACCACACAAGTAGTGCAAAGCTAAGGTTTCTCAGCAGAGGCAGAGCACCAGGGGACATTTGATGCCTGCCTTATTTAAGTCACAAATAATCTGTCTTGCATCACCCACTTTTGTTAGAATTAGCTAATAGGCCACATGCCTCTGCTGAAGGCTGGTATATACGCAGTGACCCTGCAAGCTGACTTCCTGAACTGAGGCAGGGAACAGCAGCATGGGGCACGCTGGGTGCCAGTTCCAAGCCCTGCTATGGAAGAACTGGCTTTGCAGACTCCGCCACCCAGTAAGTGTCCTGTATTTTCAGAGGGCTTTGGGAGGGAGGACTGGGGTAGGGATCAGTGTCTGATCTGGACTACCCTGATTCTTGGAAGGTGCAAAATCCACAGGGGACAGAGACTTCAGGGTAATTTTCTGTCAGAACTTGCCCTATGGGCCGATGTTGCTGAACTCTCATGGAAATTCTATTGCTGAATCAAATCTTATCAGAGAAGGCTAATTTAGAAATAAAGTGACAAGCAGAGCTGGAAGAATTGGTGTGTGGGGCATTTGTTATAAAAAACGGACCTGCAAACCTTCTGGCTTAAGAAGCAAGACATCAGAAATGTTTAATGCATAAACATGCATAAGCGTAATATTATGGATGCTAACTCTAAAGCCCAAGGACTAAGAACATTTTATGGGCTTCACACCTCATACCCCTGAGTATTAGTCTGTGATGTCCTCTCTTAGTCTTAATTTAAATCTCCATCCCTCCTGTCTCCAGAATGAAATTTAATTTATAGCAGCTAGGATTTCCTGAACAGATTTGAGTTGTACAAACCACACTTGTGCTAATATCTCAGTTTTAAAAAAATCTCCCAAATGTGGATTCTAGTAAAATATGGTCTTGATGAACAGCTCTTTATTCCTGATGTTCCTGAGGAATGCTCAGCAGTAGAGATGTCCCCTTAGGCAGTGGGCCTGCCTGCTGTGACAACTGAATTTCATTTGTCTTACGCCCTCAGCAGAGCAGATTTCCACTCTTCTCATGATAAAGCAAATTTTTAAAGAAACAGCTCTCTGTCCTGAGTTTTGAGGATCAGAAGAATATAGTTGGGAATTTGATTGTACAAAGGTTTTAATATTAGAGATGAGCAAGTGAGACACACAGGCTTCGGATGAACTATGAACGTCTTCTCTGTAATATGGTTTTTCTTTTATGAACAGTGGGTTTCATTAACAGCTAAATTTTGGAACCTATACCTATATTCCCACAAAGCGGTGTTACAGAGAAGGCCTGCTTCCCATGAACACATTGTTCTTTTCTTTTTGAGTATGTGAATTCGTTAACTTTCAATAGGCTAGAGATTAAGTGATGAGTGGTACCCAGATTCCTTTGTCCTTGCTGTTGGAGACCATCCTCAACAGAAATATTTAGATCATGCATTTATTTATTTGGTGACTGTTTATTTAAAATGGAGACCCCTGTACCTCATCCTTCACCACCTCCGTTTCCTCGCCAGTGTTTATCTTTTATAAGGATATGCTGCAGAATTACTTGTTTATTGCTCGCCTGTGGGTCCTGTGTTAGAATGTACCACCAAGGAGAGTAGAACATTTTCCCAGTTGTTTACCACATGTGCACAGCTTCTAGAGCAACACCTGCCACACAAGAGGTATCCAGAAAACCTTGGCTGAGACAGGTGTGGTGTCACATACCTGGAATTCTAGTACTTTGTAAGTAGAGGCAGGAAGGTGAAGGAGTTCAAGGCATTTTTTGCTACACAGTGAGTTCAAAGACAGTTTGAGTTATAGAAGGTGCTGGCTTCAAAAACCTGATTATGGCAATAAAAACATATCTTTAGTTGGATATATTTTTACATTATAAGAAGAAATACAGTCTACGAGGGGCCACAAGACAAGTATGAATCAGCTCCATGGGCTATAATCAGGTCTGAGAAAATAAACCAAATATGTAATTGAATATTATATGACCCCTTTTCAGGGACTACCTCCCACAGATGTCTGTGTTCAAATGGGAGATGCTAACTGCACAAAGTCACCTGTTGTGCCTCTGCTCTTCACACAGCAGAGCCTAAAGGGACACGGGAACCAATGTAGAATGTACAGCTTCTTGACATTCTTTACTATTTACTAGTTGACTCAGACAGTGGTCTTAGCTGGATTTCTTCCCTGTGAGATGGCCAGAATGGTTATGTATTTGACATGTTCACAACAGGGCTCCTCAGATAAGTGAGAACAATTCATATCACAGCACAGAATGAAAGACACTAGTGCCTTGGACATCTAGGACCTGATCTGGGGGCTCTGAGAGGAGGAGAGGCTAGGGAGAGTTCTAGGCTACCAGCTTGCAGGACCAGGGATGGGTCAGAGCAAAACCTCAGAGGCAATAGGATGGCAGCATTCACATCTCTTAATCAGCTGCAGTGGAAATATTGAGGGCAGGCCCCTCTGGGTGAGTGTCTTTAAACTGACCTAGATTTTCTAGCTTCCAGTATTCCAATGATGATCTGTAAATTCTTGTTTTTGCATTATGGAAATAGAACATCAGCACAGATAGGGACAATCAATCTAAGTGAAGAAACAACTCCAGATACATGTTTATTCAGTGTATTCAGTTTATTGTTTGTATAATAAAGGAAGCTTGTCTGTTTTACAGACACTTAAAAACCTGTTCATTTGGTTATTTTATGATCATAGATCCTTTATTTAAGGTTTTTATTTTGTTTGTTTCTTATTTTGTTTTTGTTGTTTTTCACTTTGTTTTTGGCCTCTCGATATAGTCCTGGCTGTCCTGGAACTGACTATGTAGACCAGGCTGGCCTTGAACTCACAGTGATCCACCTGCCTCTGCCTCCCAAGTGCTGAGACTAAAGATGTACACAGGTCTTTTACTTTTAAATTATGTGTATTTGTCCATGGTTATATACATATGAATGTTGGCCTGAAGAGGGTATCGGGCCTTCTGGGGTTAGCATTACTGACAGTTGTGAGCCAAAGTTTGGATTTGGGAACTAAATTTGGGTTCTCTGGCAGAGCAATATAGACCTTAAGTGGCTGAATCATCTCTCTAGCCCCAGTGTTCCTTAAAAAAGCATTTTGTTAGGATATTTCAGAAAAAAAAACCCCAAGGTGATGGATAAATAACGTTCATCTTCATCGATGGCTAAGATTCTACTACTCTTGAATAACTGTTTATCAGAAGTCTAATTTTATGTTTAAAGCCATTCATTCTATTATTCTTGAGTTTTCATTTATTGTACAAGCATAAGAACAAGGAACAGTTTTAAATCCCATGCAATTCCATTGTGATGATTCATATGCTTGCTTCCATGACATATATAATATATGTATTTGCTTGTTAATGTCATAGACTTTCCTTTTCCTGCTAAGCAGTGAAGCCTAACATTTTAAAAGCTGATGTATGGTCTTCCTATCCAATGGCTTTATTGCATAATAGTTCATCATTGAATTCACATAATGTATTTGACTATTTCCTTGATGCATGAAGGTACATTTTTGCATGTATGGTGTGGGTATGTGTTTGTATCTATTTGTGATATGTGTATGTGTGTGTGTGAGTGAGAGTGTGTTTGCCAGAGACTGACATCAGTGTATTTGTATTGTTCCCCACCTTAGGTTTTGAGTCAGTCTCAAACCCGGAGCTCATTGATTCAATGAGACTAGCTGCCCATCAGGCTCCAGGGAGCCTCCCGTTTGGACTTGTGTTAGGATCACAGGTGTCAGCCACCATGCAGCTTTTTTCTTCTTTATTAAGTGGATGCCGGGGATCCAGACTCAGGTTTTAATCTTTGTACAGAAAACACATTACCAACTGATTTATCTCTTCAGTCCCAGGTTTGTTTTGGAAATGTTGTTCTTTGATTAGCTTCCTGGAGCAGACTTCCTAGACCTGCTGATTCCGAGCATGTTGATGGAAATGGAACGCTATCCTCAGGAGTGTCCATAGATTGTGACCAAGCTCATCAGCACTATTATATCCAGGATCTATGAGCCAGGGCTCTATGCAGGAAGTTATATATTTGTATTTTATTTGTCTTTAACTGTACACCAACTAAACCCATTACTTATTACTATAAAAATGAAATAAGTATACTGTTAGCCAAGTGGGGTGGTGGTTAATCATGATTGTCAACTTGGTACGATTTAGAATCACCATGGAATCAAACCCTTGGGCATACTTGTGAGAGGTAATCTAGATTAAGGTAACTAAAGTTGAAAGACTAATCCTAAATGTGTGGCTCCAGAGACTGGGGTCTTGGACTAAATAAGGAGAAATTAAGAAATGGGTATAAGCATTCATCACTCTCTACTTCCTGACTTGGTTCCAATGTGGTTGAATGCCTCCTGTTCCTTCTCTACCTTCTCTGGCACGGTGGTCTGTGTCTCCCCTGAACTGTAAGCTAAAGTAAATGCTTTTTAAAATTTCTTTTGTCAAGTATTTTGTCATAGCAATGAAGCAAGTAACTAATTCACCAAGTGTTGCTTCTTGGTAGTGTCATAATTCTTCCTCCTCTTCTTCTTTCTCTTCCTCTCCCTCCTCTCCCTCCTCTCCCTCCTCTCCTTCCTCTCTCTCCTCCTCCTCCTCCTCCTCCTCCTCCTCCTCCTCCTTTTCCTCCTCCTCCTCCTCCTCCTCTTCCTCCTCCTCTTCCTTTTTTTCTTCTTTTAATATCATATGCTTTGATGAGGGTGTGTTGAGCCCACCCTGTTTACTGTGGATGACAATGCTGTCCAACCTGACTCTTGATCTTTTTGAGGGTTACTGTTGTCAGATCTCATGCATCTTGATTCCTATTTTCAATGGTGACTGCTAACCTCTCTCCTTTTGCCCCCAACTGGAGGAGATTCCCCATCATTTATCAGCTATTGAAAGCTAACATAGCTCTTTGAGTTTGGACAGTCTTTTTGAAGACGTTGGTTAGTAGTTAGAATTGAAGTACCATGTGGTATACATGGACAGCACATTGGGATTTGAATGTTCTGAAAAATCTCAGGGGGAAGAGGCTTGGTCCATAGGAGGGGCTATGGGACTTTATGGCAGTTTTAAGTGATGGAGGCTATGGAAAGTTATTAGGTCATTGCAGGCATGCTGTTGAAGGGGATTGTGAGACCCTGATCTTTTATTCTCCTTCTTTGCTTCCTGGCTTATGATTTTATGAATGGTTTTTATCCACAACAAATTTCTTCCATGATGTATGGTGTCACCACAGGCCTGAAACAACAGGGCCAACTGATCATAGACCAAAAACTCTATGACTGTGA